GGGGGGAGCTGGTGGGGGGGAGGGGTTGGTCATCTCCAAAAACTTTCCGGACATACCAAACATTTTCCCAACATATTATCTTCGCCAACATACAAAATTTTTTCGGACCGTGATCATAATTTTTTCCAAAAATAACAAAATTTTTCCGGACATACAAAAATACAAAAATAAATGCAATTATAAATCAAAGGCCATTGAGGCAAAAAGCCAATCTGAACGACATTTTTCACGATGGCAAAGGGCACTTTGCCACCGGAAAAAGAGCACTTTGAAAACTTGGGGGCCTTGCCTCCCCCACCCCCTCCGGTTCCTACGCCCCTGACACTGTTGTTTTCAAATGTATAAACATTTCAGACATAAATATTGAGAAAATCTTTGTTTACGTGTCTAGCACAACGCCACCGGTGCAAACTCGTGTTCCGCAGTGCAACGAGAACTCTATCAGATCTTACGAGAATCCATCTGTATATCAAAACTGCTATAAAGTCAAATACAAGACAAATATAAGAAAGAAATTGGTCTTAGAGTCAAACCTTCTCAAAATACTCTTTATGAGACACCACTAGACCCTGGAGCTTCCACTTCAACCTTCAACCTGCAATGTTTTGACGGCATTTGACCCCCAATTCAAAAAGTAATTTTGTGAGGATTTCAATGGTGCTTTTAGTTCTAAAGGGTGGTAAATACTTGCTGAGATAATTACATAAGAACATTAGAAACGACTGAATCGTAATACTGTAATACGATACATGTCGAGAAAGTAAAAAAAACATGCTTAATGAGTACTTTTACGATCATTTCACCAAACACTCAGTGCTTTCAACAGTGTAAGAGAAACAGTGCATTTAAAAATCTCTTAAAAATGTTGAAATCTTTCCTAAAATTTGTCAGCAAAAATGTTTTGCTTGCCTTCTTGCTCCTTGGTATTCTTTCGGGCTTTCTGTTTGGAGTGTTGTTTAACGGAACAGTCCAACAATCAACGGAATCAAGAAAATTAGCAATGTTTATTGGTTTTCCAGGAGAATTATTTCTGCGAATGTTGAAGCTTGTGTTGCTACCTTTTGTTGTATCGAGTGTTGTTACTTCTCTGACAATGATTAATAAAAATACTGCTGGGAAACTTGGAAAACGTGCGGCAGTTTATTTCGTGGTTACCACTCTGATCACAAACAGCCTAGCTGTTGTTATAGGAGCAGTTATAATAAAACCACAAGCACATGAAATTGAAGAGGAGACGGAATCGAAAACAGGATCAAGTCCTATTTACGCCATATTAGACATGTTAAGGTAAAGAATTAAAGATTAAAAGGTTAAAAATATAAACTAAAAAAAATTACATGTGCAATGCTACTCATATCGTTCGACTTACGCTTAATAAATTCACAAATCACAAAACCTAGACCTAGTATAAAACAATCTGACCTTGCTGCCTTGTTCTATAAGACAATCTGCTCGCCCCTGTTATGGTCTCGAACCTGATGTTTATGGTGTTACATATTGCCGGTCGGTATACTCACTATTATAGTGAGTATTGTACAAATGTATGACGGTCGTCTGTACATAGTCTTGGTTTCATTGAATTTACAATCACTGAATATTTTTTTATTTTGCCTATTCAGAAATATGATCCCTGACAACATAGTTGAAGCAAGTATTTCATCTGTAAGCGTGCAATTTATATTCTTTATATAATATTACTAAAACATTGTATAAATTTTATTGTTTATAAATGCATTGTACAAATTAATGCCATTCGCGCGTTCTGATTGACTAGTTGGCCAGTAAATCTGACGCAATATTTACTAGCACTAAACTAGTAAATAATGTTTTTCAAAACCGTATAGATGCTTTCCGAGATCTCGTTCGAAAACTGAAACATTACGTGTTTTGGTGACAAAATGTGCAGGATTAATGCGACTACATTTAGTCAACGGCAACGCCAAGTGATGTCGGATTTCACGACTTCAACAACGTATTATAGTCATATGCGTGCATTCCTGGTGTTTTTAATGTGACACGTTTTCAAAAGTCAAAACGGGGTGGTTTTGACTTTTCAGAGAACAACGTAAATTCAATTAGCTACATAAAACAGGTAATTTCAGAAGGTCGACTAAATCGCAATAATTTATCCTCACTACATTCTACTGCAGGTAGCATCGCATACCTATATGAGCATATATGAATCATGCAGCTCTTGTTAATTCTTTATAATATTATAACGGCAATTAATATACAGTAATCAACGTTGTTAACTTGCACACTCTTATGTCAGTCTACCTTGCATGCAACGTGATAATTAATATAATTTTAAAAACTCGTTAATAATTCTTAAATAATTCACTACTTGTATGTGATAAAGCACTATTTCTGACCTACTTGTGTTTTAAATACTTCAGTAAGTTAAACATATGCTGCATTTTGTGTGTTGTATGTGCGGCTCTCGTTCTTTATAATATCAATATCACAAATTAAGGTAATTATTATTATCAATTAATAAACGCTGTCCTCAGAAGGTTGAAACAAATTTTTATCGTCACTGCACGTAGATAATAATTTATATCGATACGTAAAACTCGAGTCATACTCATACTCTAAAATGCTACAGTTTCGGGAGAAGTTCTCGTTCTCAATAATTATATAGACCTTTCAAATTCAGTAAAGACTTGCTGTTAGTCCAATTCTCAGTACGAGTGGTCTAACGAGTGTAAAATGTATTTACCATGTCTGAGTTAGACAGAGAGTCTTCAAATAAGAACCCATGCAATTAATTTACAAAGGCCTCAGAGGTTAATTTAATTATTTGGTATTTTACTTTTAATATCCAAAGCCTTGATTATATATTCGCATATATCGACTCGAAGTCTTGACAACATAAGTTTCCACTATTCACAGTATATTATTAAGCTTAATTAATTTATCATTTAATTAAATGTTTAATTATACTACCCATACTGTAAAACAGTTTCCACGGGCTACCGAAAGACTCTAGGTTTTTGAAGTCTTGAGAGGCATAAGTTTTCACTAAGCTTAATTAATTTATCATTCAATTAAATGTTTATTTATACTAGCCATACTGTGAAACAGTCTCCACTGACTGCCGAAAGGCTCTAGGTCTTGACAACCTGTTGACTAAAGACTCAAAGTCTTGACAACATAAGTTTCCACTATTCACATATGTTATTACACTGGCCTGTACGCCAAATGTCTTAAATCCCTCTTTTTCTGGGTTTTTTTCGTAGTCGAGAAATCGAGTTTGCGTTAGGGGCCATTCACAAAGGATGTCCGGCCAAATGATGGATTTTCAGACCCCCTCCCCCCTTGTCCGGCATTGTCCGAATTAGTGACCCCCC